CTAGTAAGTATGAGCGAACGAAAAGATGATGTAGTTCCTTGTAGTACACGTAAGAAGTAAAAACAACCATGCAGGTAAGGAAAGGTACTCTTGTTTGAAACAATATCTCTATACTTATAAATAGTTTAAGCATTTTCAAATACCAGTACTACTAAAGGTACTATAACCCACTTATGTGCATCGAAAGCATCAACATGGAACAAATGTAATCAGCATTACTCGTCCTTATTTGAACATTGAACCCAAAGTTTGTGTTCCAAAACTGAAATGTGAACAAATATGCATGATTTAACTTATTAAAAATAACGATTGCAAAATTTCCTCAATCTATCAACCAATTATGGATATGCTGTAAGTATTTGACTTAAAACTGTGCCTTTGTTTCTTGTTTAAATTGTTTAAATTCATTATAAACATACATATATAACAATATATTATCCTTTCATTAAACAATGCATCGACATTTAAAAAAATGAAATTCTAATCATTAGTACACCTTTCATCTATTAAACATATGTATGCATATTATCTTCATAAGAAATCATTTTATGTAAATGAAACTGGTGGCATAGAAGAAGACAAATACAAAATACGACAGTCTTAATTTTGTCAGGAAAAGTAGATATATGTACAATTAGTATAAGTAAATATGGTATTATAGACAAACTAGGTGTACTTGTATCTCACTATACATGAATGAATCATATACTTACGCCTCAACAGCAAGTCTGAAAGCAAGTATTAGTGCACAATCATGTCACGCCTTATTAGATAAAACAGGTAACGGCATAGCCCTTTAATATTAAGTCCCTATACATTAATATCATACAGTAACTTAAATATATAATTAGCATATCATATATGTAGTTTAACAATTATCATGTATGCTTGAATTTATCATAGACAATACAAAATATTTGACATAATAAAGATATTTGACATAATAAAGATTTTTCGGGGGGAAGAGATTTCTTTATCAAGATATCCGACTGTATACGATATATCAGATCTATCAAATATAAAAATGCAATAAAATATCTTTCAAATACACTTAAATCTCTTCAACATTTTCAGAGATAGCTCAAATAAAAATTAAGTAATAAAGTTATATATGTTTATTAATCAACGACATATAGTATCTAATATTTGTATGATGACATAGTTATTTAATAAACTACCTTAACTTAATGTTTGATCAGAAACAAGTCATACAACGAAATATATGGGATTTATGATTTACGATATTACACGACTCACGTAAAAAATAAAATACTAAAATTATATACAACTACTTTCACTATAGCAAATAAGTGAATTGATAAAGATCTATTGTTTCATATACACACTGATATATTACTTTTATACAATCTAGATGTGACACATAATGCTTTATTCATTGTATTAATAACTCTATGGATTTTTTACAGCTAAATACCTAGTATATATATATATATATATATATATGCAATAAACTGACGACGAACAGTACGAAACTAGTAACTAACTAGCCTAAGCGCTTTCGACTCTTAATGAGTTTTTTCAAAGGCAAATGCAAAATATGTATACGACAAACAAATAAACACAAAAACATTGTGGTTGTAAACCTCTACATGGCTATCTTCACATGTGCTAAGACTGTAAATACAACCAGCTCGTATAGACTGATTGCGAAAACTGAAAACGGTGTATAATTCTCTAAAAGTCTACAAGCCAAAGCGACATCTATTTTTACATTTTGTACATATATAACGCATATTATATCCCGGATATTATATACCGGTTATTCTTATAGTAAAAATTGAAGGATAATAAGAAGATTTAGAAAATGTTTAATTCTAATAGTGCATAGTTTTCATTTTCTAGTCTTCTTGGTTTAGACCGCTTGGTTTCAAAGTTCTAAGGCGGCGTATCCAGTATGATTCCTTTTCCTTCCTGGTTTCGGAACTCCAGCTGTGGTTGTTAGCAATAGCGATAAGTATTATACCACTGAAAGTGTGGCCAGGGGAGGAGAAGTGTTCTGCGACCGGGCTTCTGTACAGCATTTTTGTCATCCAATCAGATCTATGAAGGTTTATCCTTTTGTGTACCTTTTCAGTTTATCCGACGTACTGAAGGCCACAGATCTTACATGTGATGAGATAAATCACATTCTCTGTTTTGCACATTTTGTTTGGACCATGTATGTTTAGTTTGGATTGCATCTGCAATCAGGTCTTTGTCGTAGCCTCGGTAAATTAACTGTTTAGCCAATTCTTCAGACCTTTCTAGGAATCTTTCATCGTCGGAGCAAATTCTGCGTATCCTCAGTGCCTGGCTATATGGAATGTTCTTAATGCAGTGTTTTGGATGACAGCTGATTGGGAGGAGATACTGGTGTTTGTCGGTTGGTTTCGAGTAGATGTCTGTGTGTAATTTGTATTCCACCAGTCTGGTTGTTGTGTACAGGAAGACATGGCTTGAGTTGGAAATTTCTGCCGTGAGTTTTATTGAAGGATGGAAGTTGTTTAACTTCTACCCAAAATCCACAAACAAGGAAACCCTGGCAGACCTATAATCTCAGGTAACGGGCACCCCATAGAAAGGATATCAGAATATTTAGATCATTTTATGAGACCACATGTCCACAAATTACCATCATATCTGCAAGACAAGACAGATTATCTCATAAAAAGTAAAGCTAGTGAACCATTACTGCCAGATACATTACTTGCTTCCTTAGGCGTCACATCTTTGTACACCAACATACCGCACAACGAAGGGTTACAGGCATGTAGCGAAGCATGGGAAACAAGAACTGTAAACAATCCACCCACACACTGCTTAGTCCAACTCCTGGAGCTTGTCACATAACTCAACAACTTTGAATTTAATGAAGAAAACTACCTACAAATCAATGGAATTGCAATGGGTACTAAAATGGCCCCTTTGTATGCTAACATTTTCATGGGAAAACTTGAGGAAAAGCTCTTAGCATCGGTTGAGCGTACACCATACCAGTGGGTACGCTTTATCGATGATATAGAAATGAAGTGGCAGTATGGAAGAGAAAGGCTGGATGACTTCATATCTAAAGCAAACAACTTCCATCCTTCAATAAAATTCACGGCAGAAATTTCCAACTCAAACCATGTTTTCCTGGACACAACAAACAGACTGGTGGAAAACAAACTACACACAGACATCTACTCGAAACCAACCGACAAACACCAGTATCTCCTCCCAACCAGCTGTCATCCAAAACACTGCATTAAGAACATTCCATATAGCCAGGCACTGAGGATACGCAGAATTTGCTCCGACGATGAAAGATTCCTAGAAAGGTCTGAAGAATTGGCTAAACAGTTAATTTACCGAGGCTACGACAAAGACCTGATTGCAGAGGCAATCCAAAGGGCCAAACAAACAAACCGTGATGACCTACTCAGATATGGACAGAAAGAAAAGGTTGATAGAATACCATTTATTCTGACCTATCACCCAGACAATCCCAAAGTAGGAAAAATCATCGCAAACCACTGGCCAACCGTGCAATCGTCAGACATACTAAACCTAATACTTCCGAACAAACCTATAGTAGCTTACCGGAGACCAAAAACCTAAAGGACATCCTAGTCAGGGTAAAGCTAACGCCAATCGCTAGTCAAAACCAACCTAGTCAATCTGGACCCTGTGGCGATAAAAGTTGCAAAACCTGTCAACATATGATAGAGACCAAGACATTCACCAGCACAGTGACTAAAGAAAAACTAAACATACATGGTCCAAACAAAACGTGCAAAACAGAGAATGTGATTTATCTCATCACATGTAAGATCTGTGGCCTTCAGTACGTCGGAGAAACTGAAAAGGTACACAAAAGGATAAACCTTCATAGATCTGATTGGATGACAAAAAAAGCTGTACAGAAGCCCGGTCGCAGAACACTTCTCCTCCCCTGGCCACGCTTTCAGTGATAAAATACTTATCGCTATTGCTAACAACCACAGCTGGAGTTCCGAAACCAGGAAGGAAAAGGAATCATACTGGATACGCCGCCTTAGAACTTTGAAACCAAGCGGTCTAAACCAAGAAAACTAGAAAATGAAAACTATGCACTAGTAGAATTTAACATTTTCTAAATCTTCTTATTATCCTTCAAATTTTACTATAAGAATAACCGGTAAAGAATCAAATATCCGGGATATAATCTGCGTTACATATGTACAAAAAGTAGAAATAGATGTCGCTTTGGCTTGTAGACTTTTAGGGAATTATACACCGTTTTCAGTTTCCGCAACTTGTCTATACGAGCTGGTTGTATTTATAGTTTTAGCACATGTGAAGACAGCCATGTAGAGGTTTACAACCACAACGTTTTTGTGTTTATTTGTTTGTCGTATATATGTTTTGTATTTGCCTTTGAAAAAGACTCATTAAGAGTCGCAAGCGCTTAGGCTAGTTAGTTACTAGTTTCTTACTGTTCGTCGTCAGTTTATTGCATCTATTTTAATTAATCCCTGACACACGTGGTCCCTTGGTGGATCCAGTACGTTTGAAAGGGTTGCTATTCGCCATATGATTTGTATTCTCTCTCTCTCTTTATATATATATATATATATATATATATATATATATATATATATATATATATATATATATATATATATATATATATATATATATAGGTATAGGTATATATATAGGTAGAGGTATATATATAGGTATATATATATATATATATATATATATATATATATATATATATATATATATATATATATATATATATATATATATATATATATATGCAATAAACTGACGAATAACATTTCCAAACTAGTAACTAACTAGCCAGAGCGCTTTCGACTCTTAGTAAGACTTTTTCAAAGGCAAATACAAAACATACAAAATAAACACACAAACGTTGTCTTTGTTAAACTCTACATGGATGTCTCCGCATGTGTCAAACCTACAGATATATTTTCTCAACCAGCCTGTACCATTATTGTAATTCTTTGGTATGACTCGGCCGGGGATAGAACCCACGACCTCCCGCAGCCGAGTCAGACGCTCTAACCACTAGGCCACCAGAGCGGTTGATATATTTGATATAGTAAATTGAATAACATTTAAAAAAGATAAATATATGTGATTTTTGATTTAGTCTTTAACATATATAATATCTAGTAAATTGAAGAAAGTATACATCATAACAGAGCATAGATTCTGCTACACAGACTACAAACATATTGTTTTCAATATCTGGTCCTGTGTTGAAGCTAGTGCTCCTACGGGCTATTTTATATACGAAATGTAATATATACAAATACTTATTTTAACATATACAGTACCAACATCATTAGTGGCAAACATATGTAATTACAAATCTTTCAGAAAGGTGAAACATACTTTATTGTGTCCATTTGAAATCAGAATCTACAAAAACTAGGTGGAAAAAATGAACAAATGTGTAATTGCATATATTGGACAATGAAACATGCAAATTTATTTTTAACGTATGCTCTAAAAGAAGCATCATATCAAACACCTAACCGAAGCGGATTAGGATGGATATATCAGGCATATCTTGTGTTATAGAACTCTTACAATAATCCTAAAAATAATTTAAATTGCTATTTTGGTTACTTGCTTAAATTGTAACATTATACCTTTCCTATCTTTTGTTATTGTTGATAATATCTGGTTTTCAATGTACTACTAAGGACATTGTTATACAATATGAATAGTCTGGTTAGCACGTTCATTATTTGACATCTATGGGGCACTAAATAAGTGAAATAAGATACTATAAAAACAAGAAATCATAAGAATCAGAAAGGGTTACTTCACAGTAGCTGTTTTCTGATTAAGTAAAGCTTGAAACACAAAAATAGTATATTGTTTGGTGAAAGAGTGCTGCACGGTATCTTACAAAATAATCTTGTTTTCGCTCATCTGGATGGAAACTAGACTAATAGCAACATCTGACTAGCAACACAACAGGAATAATGCAGGAGTGACATACTTTAATCTGGAGGCACGACTGCTCATAGAGGCGACACATTTAGAGAAACAGGATCATGAACATGTTCCCTTCCATAACTAAATTGATAAAATAGCTAGGCTCAGTAAAAGAAACTAAATATTCTACTGCTGTTCGGATCATTTAAGCCATTCTACCCTTAAATTAGTAATACATCCTACACTTTTCGATGTTACTAAGAAGTCATTAATTCTCATCTTAATAAATTTTGTGCGTTGTTGTAGTCTTGCTTCTGACATAAATATGTTCAGTGCAGCAGAAAATGTTGCCAATTTCATTGATTTTCTTTTATAATGGCGTTCATACCATCATCCGAAAGAACAGAGCTGTTATTCATAGACAGAAAGACCACTTTTAATTAGAAAAACAGTACTCAAAAAGTGATGTTCTGACCGAAACATGTTTATGTCGGCATACTTATTTCCCCAAGTGACACTCCGATGCAATCATACCTTATATCAATATTTTACTTGAAGACTGTAGTAAAATCATAATATAAACAATTAGAGAGTTCTTGCACAGCGAATCGGAGTATATGTGAGCTTACATAACTTCCGGTATTTTCCTACATTGGATTGCCACTAAGTTCTCATAACAAATCCTCGCCGCAATCAAAGCAGGATCTGTTTCTAGATTGAATATGGAAAATGGGGCAGCCGTTCTTTACAATTGCACTCTTGACACAGTGATACTCAGAGGAAGCAGATCAACTATTTTAGAAACTACTGGTCGAAATAAAATCATTCAGGATATTAAATTTGAGAAAGCAGATATTGTAGTGGATATAATATTTTAGAGAACACTGTTTTCCAAAGGTCAACATAAATAAACCCACTAATTTTATTGCAAGTCTTTGCAAGTTATATACTATAACATATTATGTCCTGATATTGTCCATATCTATATATCCTTGATCTTTCAGTATTTCACGCGCATGCAATAAATCATATGTTGCCTGAAGCTTACTGCTAAGAAGTCTTTAGATAAATGAATTCAAGGAATTAATGTTAGATTCAAAATTTTTTCTACTACATTCACAATGTTAGAAGCAAGTTAATTTCTCGAGGATGTGGAGGTATAATATTGACTTTTCTTTCCTATCGCACGTCAATAAAATACTAAATTAGATACCTACCTTCCACATATATGCGATAATTTAAGGACCTTTGCAGTCTAACAATGTCTAAAAGACAGTTTACATTCTTGCGTTTTTTCCTTGAGAGAACGTTCACTATCTTAATCAATGATTTATAATCTCATAATAATGTATTGTACTTTCAAACATGGGCTGTGCTTTAGGAACGTCATTAATACCAATGTCTTTTAGTGACACTTATTACCGAAATGTTAAACTTACCGTAGTTGCTTTGAATATCTCCTATGAAAGACAACAAGTACGGAAATGAATATTGATGTTTATAGAAACGGTTTACCAGATACTTTACTATGTAAACACACCGAAATACATCACACACAATTATACACATGCAGACTTTCAAAAGAAGAGTATAACTTGAGCAGTTTTAACGGTCGATCCGATGCCATTGTTATTGCCGCGGTAATTACATTGGAATCCTGACATGTTATGAGCTGTTACATACAACAGCTCTAAAAGGTATGAGCTGTTATATACAATATTTCTAAGATCTACACAAACTATTTATTGTTTTTCAATATAGCATATGTCTGTACAATAAAACACATCGGGTGTGAATTTTCTTGCAGAATACACATTATAATAAACAACTCAGGATCTTATGATTAGTACATGACTCGGAAGAAAAACATAAACATACCAATGTTGGAGCCGCATAGTTTATCGAGGACGTTGGGGCAGTGTTCATGTTGACTTTTGATATCAATCAAACATGAGACAGGTACAAAATTAAATAGTTTCCGTATCTGTTTAAACTTGACATTTGGAGCTTAACATATTGGTTGTGTTCAAAACACCGTTCATGCTTAAATGCTAAACATTGAAGAAAGAATAGACCATGTATGACTGAAGCAAATTACCGTAATTTTTTAATTTATTTTAGTGAGTTGTTTACATAATGAATATCACTTATTACTGTCACTGAGCTGAATAATACCTGTGACTACTGTTTGGCTAATTAATGATGTCTTGGGTTTCGTTTGTAAGATTTGTAAGGTGTGAATTCGACTTATATTAAACATTGATGTTGAAAATATATCAGATATATATCATCATTCTTGTATATATCTGAACTCTAATGCATGTGGGTTAATAAATGAAGAGTGGATGAATCAATATTTTTGATAGCATGTTGTTCGCCCTGTTTACGTTCAATTGGGTGTGGTAAATATCGGAAAGCTTGATTAGAACCACCAACACATTGAACGCTATAATGTTTCGGACTCAAGATTCAAATGCAAGCGGACAGAGGTGAAATTTCGGTAATCAGTGAAGAAGAACGCTTTAGACCCCTTTTCCACTCGGGGACCTAAAATAAAATTCAACTGTTTGTCCAATTCTACTGGCGTTGCGCTGGTTTTGAAATACTGTCAGAATCAGTGCTCCGACTCATGTAATTTCTCACACTAACGTTGTTATACAAAATAATCAAAATGATCCTAAATTCCAAAGAAATATATTCAACAGATTGTCTGTATCACTGGCAAACGGAATAGTAGACTTGTTTCGAATTTGTTTGTTTTGTAACAACAAAAATATATATTTTACGAATTCAAGCACGTTCGAAGTAAACAGAATACCATAGTACTAAATTGAAGAGGATATCTTACATATGTTCTTACGTTGTTGTGAAATTGATAGAATAAATTAATTATTATAATCCATATTTGGTCATATCTTGATGCAGGACAGAAAAATGAATTCACATTCCTGTCTAGCACAGACTGTGATTTCCTCAACAACATCCATGTAACAACTCGTTAATGAAACGTAATATTAACTTACCTATACTCCTGGAAATCATTCCTAAGAAAACTAAATAAGACCTAAATTAAAGTGTGTGCAGACATATACCAATTTTGGAGCTGGCATAATTATATCGTAACGTTGAGGCAGTGGTAAAGTCGATGTTTCAAAGCAGTCAAACATCAGACATGTACAAAATTAAATCGATTCATTGTCCTTTTATTCTTTAAATTTGGAATTTAACATTGTGGTTGTATTCAAAACACCGTTCATGTTTAACGAAATGGCACCGTAAAGATTGAAGAAAACTAATTTTTGTGTTTGAATTTTTTTAGTGAGTGGTTTAGATATTTAATATCAATTATTTATTACTTTGAGTCTAATCATGTATGTGACGTACTATAGAAATAATCAGTGTTGTGTGGGATTTTATTTGTAAGATTCGTAATATGTGAATTCGATTTGCATTGAACATTCATGTTGAAAATATACCATATATGATCTTCTCACAAATAATACGTGCTGTTTAAGAAAATATCGTCTGTGCGTTAATGCATTTCCTTGATAAGTTAAAAAAACTAAGTATCAATCTTGTATATAGTTGAACTGTAATATGCATGTGGGTTATTAGATTAGGAGTGGTCGAACCAAGTTATTTTAGGATGTTTTTACATTTTGTTTTCGCTGCTTCATTGGTGGAGGAAAACACTGGAAACATTGGACAAAACTTCCAACGCATTGAAAGCCATTGGTCGCTTTCTCATAATCCCATAATATTCGGTCTTAGGACTTAAGAGCAAGCGACCTGAGGTGAGATTTCGGTAATCGGAAACGAAAAGCGCTTTAAACCCCTTTTCCACTCATTTGTGAAATGTTGCGGACGTTGCGAATGTTCGAATTTTCAAATACTGTCGGAATAAGTACTCAGATTCATTAAATTTTTCACATGATCGTAGTTGTACAAAAATCATCCAACTTTGCCTAAATTTCTAGGTATGTATCCAACGAATTATCTCTATTCATGGTAAACGGGATAGTATACTTGTTTTGGATATGTTTGTTTTGTAACAAGTATGGAATTCAACAAAAATAGACATTTCACCAATTATAGAAATTTTGAATTAAACGAGATATAATTGTACTTAAGTAT